TGGGTTATTTTCTATTGAGAACGAAAAGGCTTAGGGTTTATTTTTGTGTTAGCGCTTAAACCTCCGCCCCCTTTGCCAATCCAATAACGAGAGCGGCGATGTGAAGAGACGACGACAAGTTAGTCAATTTCGATTCCATGTCTTTCGTCATCATCGTCAGACCCTCTTATGTTTCTTCTTTTGCTATTCTCTATGTACTCTCTTTTAATTGTATTTGGTCTGTATTTTTGGTGAACCCAGGTGTATATAGAGATGAGAAATCATAACAGCGTGTAATTGAAGTTTAGGGATGAAAATGGAGTTGTTTTCTGGATGAACCTTGAAAAGATTTACTGGGTGCCCCAAGATCCGAGGAGGTAAAATTTTATTTGTTCTACTTATCTAATTATGTTTGACATGTCTCGTTGGTTCTCTAATTAGTGTTTTCCTTCCATCCATCATTGTTAATAATTGGCAGTCCCAAACTCCCCGTTTTCAATTCCATACATCTATTCTCCACCAGGTTGCTACTTGGAATATGGTAAAGATGGAAGAAACCTCTTTAGATGTAAACTTTAATCTATTTGGAAGAGGTGAATTGAGTATGGTTAATAATTAGTGGCTCATACGTTCTACATGCTTTGTTTTCCATAGACAATTACTTGTCCTTACTTTATGAAATTAGTTTATAGTATTTATCCGAAGTGTTAATTAGACATTGTTATAAATCAATCAATTTCAGGGATTTATACAAGGGATTGCATCTGCTCTTCTTTTATGGCTGATGGCTTTGGAAGTCAGGGTCAATGACAACATACTTGCGAGCAGGAGGTCACCCTTGCTAGACTCTATTGATCACGAATGAGTTTGTATGAAGCTCACTTTGAATCCGACACAAGAAATGGCATCAGATGAGAGACAAGATGAAGGTTGGCTGGTGCTAATTCTACCCCACACCACATTGTGTCCCTTCCAACTCAAAAGCATGATTTCTTATGGATGAAGATATCATAAGCAGGCATGGTCTTCATCAAATCTGTGATTGATTATGAATCACAACTATAGGAAAAGTTAATCTACGTACGGTTAATCTTGGCATATTCATTGTGTATTTTGTTTTTGTTTTCTCGTATTGGTTTTGCAAAGTAAATAGGGGAGGAATGGAAATATGAAGTATATGATGTGTATGTTTTTTTAGTGTAGTTCTTGGTCAATGGTCCGAGCGGTATATATGACAATATTGTGGTCACAAATAATAGTAACTATTTGTGATAACTCGAGTCCTCTTTATTGTAATAAATATACTATATTCAAAAGCATAATATTTGTGTAAAAAAAGAGTTCATCATTAATGTTGTTGCAATAGTAACAATATCTTTGTCACAGAAGCATGATATTGTGACTAAAATACCATCACAAAACCCTATTTTGTGACAAAATACAGTATGAAAATGGCACATTTGTTACAATTTAAAGTGGTAGCCGTTGAAATACATCGATGTCCACATGAAGTCATCACAAATGTATAATATTTGTTACAAAAGTATATTGTCACCATTGGGTACATCTTATATGACGATCAAACTCGTCACTAATAAAGTATATACATGTCGGTTATACTCGTAAAAATGTGTTGCGTAATTTATTTTAAGTGTTGTCTAAAATAGTGTTGTATAAGCGGTATATATATACAACACTTATTTTTTTGTTACCAAAAGTAAGAAAAATGTTACCTATTACTTTATACAACACCACCTATAGAGGACACTAGTAAAAGTGTTGCATATTAAATATGCAACACTTTGAGCACTTTTTACAACACATTTGAAGTGTTGCCAAAAGCCACTTTTCCCGTAGTGTCCTCTACCTCTATTATTAAGGCAGAGCAATTCTTGTAGGGGTAAATATGGATAGATTGAGTGTTGTTGGTTTGCACAACGCAAATGGAAAAGGTGCTACTAATGTAAACGGGCCCAAATAGTGTCCGACCCACTAAACACTCAACCACTAGGTTACTTTCGCTACACCTAATATAAGAGTGAAATGGGAAAGGTGCTCCCCATTACAAAATCCTTGCATCCATAGTAAAAGTAGGAAGGGTAGATTTGTCTTCACAGTCATTTATTATTTTCTAATTTATAGGAAAATACATAAGTGATGGGATTTGAATTGTGATCTCTATGAGAAAAGACAATAAACATAACCAGTTAGACTAAACAAATTTATTTAAACCTTTTAAATTAAAAACATATAGGAAGCTTAAATATGATAAATCATTGGAATTTTCCATCACAGTTAGCTAAGACACTAACTCTCCCCTAAATATTTTTTTTGGTATTTTATACTTCTATTTTCATACTTTGATTATTTTAATTCGAGTTTAATAATTAATTCTATTTCTATTTATCTTATAAAAGGAGAATAATTTTAAAATCATAAGCCTAATATCATTGGTGCAAATATTTCACATCGAATTTGCAGTATTGAATGTGTAGAAGCAATGCAAAATTCTTGACATAGACTTAAATAATATAACTACCATAAAGCAACAATATTTTTGAACATAGAAGTTTTGAGTGAATATATGTACATGTGTCTTTAAGAGAGGGGTAAATGTGGAAATGTTGAATGATGTTGGTTTGTCGAATACGGATTGAAAAGCCGCAACTAATGTAAATAGGTCTAAATTGTGTCCCGACCTACGTACTAAACGCTCAACCATCATTGTCTCTCCAAACCTTCCCACTGGACTCGACAACCACCTAACCTCCTCCACCTATATTGTTACGCAAAGCAATTTTTGGAGGGTTAAATATGGAAAGATTGAGTGTTCTTGCTTGGAGAGCTGACTGGTGGGTTATTTAGTTTATTTGACAGTAATGTATGATCTCTTAACATCAATTCATTTGGTTGATATCTAGGTTGACTTTTGAGTTGATTAAAGATAAACAGTGTCCCGGGCTCCCATCCTACTAAAGGCTCAACCATCACCGTCTCTCCAAACCTTCCTATCAAACTCGACAACCGCCTAACCTCCTCCACCTATATTGTTACGCAAAGCAATTTTCGGAGGGGTAAATATGTAAAGGTTGAGTGTTCTTGCTTGGAGAGCTGACTAATGGGTTATTTAGTTTCTTTGTTAGTAATGTATGATCTCTTAAAATAAGTTCATTTGGTTGATTTTCTAGATTGACTTTTGAATTGATTAAAGATAAATAACTATACTTTTTGTTGTTTTTGTTATAATACTCCTTTTCAGTATCATCATTTTTCTTATTTGAAATGTTTTGGTGGTTAGATTCAAGTAAACAAAGACTACTCTGATTAGTGTTAAAATAGGGAATAGCTTCAACCATACCACTTTTACACAAAATTTATATGCAAGACCTGAGATCATTACCGAATTGAACTATTCAAGCTATAATGTTGATCTTCTATATATAAAACATAGTTTTTTTGAGTGAAATAACCTCATGATTGCAGATAAGTTTTTATAATATGATGTTTTGTGATAGTGGTCACTTGCTTCCAGATTTAAAAGTGGGGTTCTAATTACTACAATCTACACATAATATAATGGCAGGAAGGAAAAAACCTTTCCCCCATTTCAATTTTTCTGCTCCATGAGCGTTTGTAGGAGGGTATAATAGGTAGTGCCAATTTTTCTCTCTTTCCTTTGTGGAACGAGCCAACATATCGTACACGTGCAGACTTGAACAGGCCCAAGGATTGTTGCGACCAACAAAAACAGAACATGTTTCAGCCACAACTGCATCTGTTTCGTGCCTCCATAGCGATCACCATAACCGAGTCTTGAATTGTTCTGATGCTGGATCTGGACTCCACCCACGCTGGGAATAAATGAAATAAATAGAGAAAGTGAGCTTCATAATTGTTTACAAAATAATTTCCCCAATCCTTCTTCCGTGTGCTAATCACCTAATCCCTTCCTATGAAAACAAATCCAAGCATACTAAAGTGATCTAGTCATGCAAATGAAGAAGGGTGGTAAATTGCATGGAAGTAAAATTCAAAGATTGAGTCATCTAATCAAATCATAATCAACCACCCCTTTTTCCATCATTCGCAAGTTCTAACAGATAAGTGACAAAGAAATCCACAATATCGCTTCACTGTAACAATACAGTATTATTGAAGATTGGTGGCTTTCTCTTCTTCTTCGTTAAACTAGCGTCGAAGATATACAAAGAGGGGTTTAAACAAGTGATAAGAGAAGGGAAGATTAATAAATGAAAAACAGAGATAGAGAGGGCGAGTTGAAATTGAGGTTCGGGGGGAGGATGACATGCAGGGAAAAGGTTTGCAGAGCTAAAATTAACGGCAGGAAAATGGGGATGGGGAGAAGTGGCTACCGACAGTGATATAATTGAGATCAAGAGAGAGAAGTGAACCATGAGCCGGTGAGCACTGAGCAGCTTTTTTTAGGGGATATATGGTTTTCTTTGAGCCATTTTATTTCTCGGTGTTGGTAAGATATATATGAACTGGCAAAAACAATACTAATTTTTTATTGCCAAAAAGAAAAAAAAATTAACAATAAACTAATGCATGGATTCTAATGGGCTAACCGCTAACCATAGAATAAAAGAGTTGAATGGGTTTGACCCATACGGGATTTTGCCATCAAGTAACATAATGGGTTTGCCATCGTAAAACATGCTATTTTCTCTAGCATAACATATATTATGCAATTATTTTATATCTTAGTGGCTAAAATATAATGAGTTTTTAAGTTAGTAAATGGTTCGACCTCGACCAACCAGATTAGCCCAATTTTTATAATTTCAAATATATATTATGTAATTATTTGATATCCTTATTAAATTATAGTGTACTTATAGGTAATTTTTTATTCGGTTTTCTGGAATTCGGTTTCTATCAAACTTATTTCAGCTCATCATATTACCAGAAATAATACTGTTTCACAAGGTAACAAGTACTCAAACTTGGTTCATAAGGTTGATTTTTGATTCATTGCATCATCCATGCCTCTTTCCTACTAAAATTCACTATCTTTATCGCATATTTTCAAAATAAAACTATACAACAATAAATTATACACCCTATTACATTATAAATTTCATAACTCATTTTCATCCGACCAACTTGCCGGGCCACACTAGTTATAAAATTAGGCTCGCGCAAGTCAAAGATTGGACCACCAACATGGACAAGTCTCCTGTCCCCTTGCCACTCGGCAAACGACGTTGAAGGGTGTTTTCTGTGTTGACTAGTGACTACGTACTACACCTCATTGTTATTCATTTTTTTGTTTCGAACCTCATAACTTATAATAATAATAATATAATAATATTAACAGCTGTTGACAAAATAATCATCATGGTATACGATCGAATTCAAATAAATTTGTTGGTGAAAATATAACCGTCAGTTTTTTTGAGTGGGGTTCTCCAAACTCGATAAGGTGATAGCGTATTTGGAACGATTTTTATATTATATGTATCCGCATTGAAGCTCCTCAAATATGTACTATAATTATGATTTAGATTCACCCATTTCAAGATTTTGCTCATCCATATTCTTCAATTATAGGGGTCGTTTGGAGAATGGGATTTAGGGCGTGGATTCATTGAATCCGTAGATTTTGTAGAAAGTTATGTTTTTTTGTTGTTTTTTGTATTGTGGATTTGAGCTATAGAGATTTCAAATCTCTAAAATCTACGGATATCAAATCTCTCATAATCAAAGAGATTCTATATCTTGATTCGTGAGATTTTTTCCCTCCTACTTTTTCTCTTTGTTTTATTTATTTATCATATTAAATATATTTATCAACAAAGTTTTTAATATTTCTCGAACCACTCTAATTTTTTATTAAGGATAAACACGTTATTTGATATAAAAATATTTTTATTTTATTTTCATTGAATGTTAACAATCACAATTACCAAACAATAAACATTTTAAAATCAATTTTCAACAATCCGAAGAGTTAGAATCTTTAGATTGTTGACAATCTATAGATTTAAACTCATATTCTCCAAACGACCCCATATTTCTCCTGTAGACAAAAGATTTGCTCATTTTCCTGCATTTTTTTTATAAATAGTGTCTAATGAACAAAACTAAAAAGCAATATCTACATTTTAAGAAAATTTCCAGCTTTTATCAAGAACTTTGTATATAATTATCCGAGATAGTGCAGATGAACTTCTCCAGAAACCGCATACGGATACGGGTATGCCATATTACATTCCTGCTTACTTTTGATTTTGGAAATAATTACGATTTTATAACAGTGATTCAAGAATGTTATACAAGAAAACCAAATCCACCCCAACCCCTTCACATCCTATACCAGTACACCATTCATAACTAACCTCTCACTTTGGTGTTCATCTACTTTATATTTTAACCATTTTTTTCTCATTGAATCAGTCGCTTTTTATTTGTGAAAGTAACCAATACAACGAAAGAGGGATAGTCATCCCAAATTCCCCAACATCCACCCCTCACAACGTTTCTGTACTCTGTACTACTGCAGCAAGCAAAAACAGTCAAAAAACTCTATATGTATCCCAACCCCCTTAAACTATCTCTTGCCCCTCTATTCCCATAAGTAAGGAACACTAATACCTGTCTGATCAGAACTGCAACCTGCTTAGGAGAACGACTTGAAGTACCATGGACAACTCCACATCTCTCCTTCCAAATAAATGACACTAGGAGATACCACATAAGAGCCTGCCAAATTCAAGATTGTGCTTGTCTTGCCGAAGAAAGAGATTGAACCATGGAATCCCAGTTTGGGTGCAACAGCAGGCTGCACCTTACCTCAGCAGCAAGCTCCCGAGCAAATTTGCACCGAGTAAAAAGATGATCCCTGCTCTCTATTCCTTGATTGCAAAGAGGACAAGCAGCAATCCTAATTCTCCCCCATTTTTGCAATTTGTCCCTCGTGGTAATGGCATTTTTCATTATCAGCCAAGCAAGCATGCTATAGCGAGGAGGACAGCTACTGCTCCATACCAGTTTATACCACATAACTCCAGAGGCCCTGTTTCTCAATGTATTCCAGACTCGACGGATTGAATAAACATCCATCTCCCTCGAATCCCAATAGACAACATCATTATGTACCTGTAACCAGGGTAGAACCACAGCCCTAAGCTTGAGAATTCTTCTCCAAGCCCATGAACTACTGTACTGTTCTCTAAGAGACCACAAATCACACAGATGAACCAAAATGTTAAAGATGATAGTGCAAATTCTTATGAACCAAACTTGCAAACACAGAAGTCTGTAAGATTGTTGCTTCTATACTTTCGTTACATGAATTTTTGGGAGAGATTTGCTCGATTGCTTCAAGCAAGTTCGTAATGAGGACAAATAACACTTTAAGAAGGGTGATCAATCATGCTTTTAATCAGCTTTTTTTCCTACCAAATTCATTACACAACCAACCCTAACCCTAACTTCTCACCAAAACTAAATCCGGTAACCCACTCCAGAGGCAACCTATTCCATTGCCAAGGTTGTGTGTGATTCATTGATGAGATCTTGCTAGTTTTGGACACAAAGATTTCCAATTCACCTCGCAATTTTGTAGCGTCTATCGTCTATAAAAAGATATGGGTTCAAATTATATGTGTCCAATTCAAAAATTTGCTCTCCAAATTAATAGAGCAACCGATTATACTAGACAACCAATTTGTGTCTTGAGTTCCTTATCATCATAATCGACTCGTAAGTTATGTAAATTTTTACGATGAAGTCCACATGATCAATTCATTCTAAATAGCAAATTATTAGGGGAAAATGTTACGAAAACATAATTGAAAACAAAAGATAAGCTCAGAATACCAAATTCTAAACTGCAAATCCGAGTTCCAAGTCAAAGATGATAATGTAGAGAAAGGGAATTTTATATTTTAGATTTTGAAAAGGAAAGGGACGAGCGCCCCTCCCCAAAGGCTCTAACCGGAAATTCCCCCCAAATTAGATCAAATTCCAAGAACAAGAGCCCCTTAGACAGAAAAGCAAAAAAATAAATTGAACAAGAAAATATATACACACGGTAACACGGCACAGAAAAGTAGATCGATCGAGCCTCATAATTCTGGATTATTAAGAAGAATTAAGGAGTAAAAAAAGGAACAGATACAAAAAAAAAAAAAAAAAAAAGTGTTGAATCAATGAATAGGCGCAAGCTGTTGGAAAAATATCAACAGGCTCTCCCTTTCATCGGCATGGTAGGGTGATGAATCAACACCTCCTTGTTCTTCCCCTTGAGATGAAGCAATTTCGTCCAGAACCCTTTCTTCTTCTTCCCACCTGCGTACCCAAAATCACCCCCGCCGCCTTGACGATCCTTGTCGTTGTAATTACTAAACATCGCCTTCTCTCCTCCCGCCCCGCCGCGGCGTCTCGTTGCCTTCGGCGGCTGGGGAGTGAACGAATACGAAGCCGCCACGGATCGACACTTCTTCAACCCCGACGACGACGACGACGTCACATCCGGCGCCGCCAGCCGGAACGACATGGAGCCTATGTCGGAGGACGACGCGCTCCGATGGTGGCCGTGTCCCACGCGCTTCTTCTCCGCCCCCTTATTGTTGTTGTCGTCTTCGTCGTCATCGTCAATGTTGTTGTTATTGACAGTGTCGTGGTAATCGTCGTGACTTGAGGGAGCGGAAGAAGAAGAACAAGAAGAAGCGGAAGCAGCGGAGGACGGCACGGAAGCAGAGAGTCGCGGCGGGGCGGCGTGGTTGAGGCGGAAGAGGCGATCCCTGAGGCAGGAAGGGCAAACCCCTTGCTTCTCCTTGTGGGTTGGGTGCTTCTTGCATCCCCGCCCCTGCTCCGACGACAAACCCATCTCCCCCTTTGTCCTTTTCCGAACTGGATTTGATTTGGGTATTTGTCTTGTTTCTGTGTTTGGTTGTCCTTGCGCGGAGGAGGAAGAAGAAGAAGAAATTGGGGGAAACCAGAATAAATTGACGGGTGGAAGGAAGGGAATTGGGAAATTGGAGATTTAGGCGGCCCGTTGATTCAGAGGGATTTCTTTTTATAATTAATTTTAAGGCGGGTGATTGGGGGACGACGACTCGCGCGAATTCTCTTCTTCTTTAACTGGAAAAATGGAATGGGGGATTCTACGGATCCTGTCATTTTCGTCAACGAAATTAGCTTATTCCACGCCACCAACTTTTTTCCGGTTTTGCGGTCGGGCTTATCCTGTTAGATGCTGGAGTGTGGACTTATTATACTGATGCGACGGATCGGTCGAAAATGCTCAAAATAGAGAAAGGGTCGGCCATTGCCCGCGCCAACTTCATGCTCTGTGGTTGGTTGTTATTTTTCTTTTTCGTTATGGATAAATAACAAAAAAGAAGAAGAAAAAGTAGGAAAGACAGGAAGGTGATCAAGTTGTTTCTTAGTTCGTTAATTGGGAAGGGGTTACGGTGGTTACAAAATCTTTGTAACCACCGTGTTTATTAAGGGAAGAAATTGTATTTTGGTGCTTATTGTTTTGGTAGTGGTGCGTATGTTTTAGGGTGCCAGTCGGTCGGTTTCGGTTAAACCGAACCTTCTCCATGTCTGCCGACCATCGACCGTGAGAGAAGTCGTGGTTAGCCGACCACCGACCGGTTTTCGATTCTGGGGCGGTTATACCGCAACAACCGAATTTATTAAAAAAAAAGAAAAAAAAAAAACCCAATACCCACCCCCGACCCCACCCACGTTACTTCTCTGCTTCTTCTCTCCTCTCCCAATACCCACCCCACCCACCTCTTCTTCTTCTCTTCTCTCCCTACCACTAAATTCTTATCTTCTTCCTTCTTCTCTCTCCTTCTCTCTCCTGCCTTCCTCCAAAAAGAACCACCAGAGGGCAGAACCAGCCATTTTCTTCCTTCCTTCATTGCAGATTTAGACACCACGACGGCCGGTCGCGGAGGAGAAGCAGAGGCACACCGGCGCCCACAGAAGAGAGCGAAGGGAGACATCCCCGATGCAGGGAGAGGCAAAAATGGAGAGGGAAGGGATGGTGATGGGAGACGCGTGGATGCCTGGGGTCGTCGGGGATGGGAGATGGCGATGTCGGAGAGGAATCGGCGAGGAGAAACGATGCTATCTCTGACTCTGGCTCGCGGTGTCCGGTCGTCGAGGAGGGTGGGGAGGGGGAGACGGAGTCAACAGGGAGGGTGGCTGGGATTTGGATGGCGGAGGGCTGGGATTTGAGTACGAAGAAGAAAGAATTAGGGTTGGGGTTTTATTAAAAGGATGGCTGGTCGGTTATGTTCGGTTAGTCGGGTAACCGCGGTTAATCATCCTCGGTTACTCGGCTAGCCGAAAACTAGCTTTATTCTACCGAACACCGACCGAGGCAAATAACCGTTGGTTTTTGGTTAGTTACTAACCGGCGATTATCGGTTGAACCGGCTGGTTAACCACTAACCGGAAACCGAACTGCCACCCCTAGTATATTTTATTGATAGTGTTGACAATGTGGTATTGATATAAATATGTTTAGATGGATTGACATTGAATATAAAAAAAAATACTTTTATTTATGTTGATTACATTAAATTAATTACAGTGGAGAAATAATTTTTATAAAAACTAAACTCTTCGCTCTATATCTCTACTTCCATCTCATTCTGCCTCCTTGCCTTCCTTTGATTCTTTCATCCTTGTGCTTCCGATTGCAACTATTTGTACTTTTTGCCACTATCTAGCAAAAAATCAATACCAATCGAAGAAAAATCAATACCAATACGAAAAATCCATACAAGCCTAGACAAAATCAATACCAATCCAAGAAAGATCAATACCAATACGAAAAATTCATACTCGCCTACACAATTAGTACCATAATGAAAAACATACATGACAACCACTTCTATACGAATACTATCCAACAAACACCCTACAAAAAAAGTATCAAACCAATACGAAAATGAAAATAACTAGATCTATGTTTTTATATTCTCCGGAGAGGAGATTTATCCAATACCAAATCGTTAAAACACTAACAAATACAAAAAAAAAAAAAAACAAATCAATCCAAAAAAAAAAATCAATACCAAAATAAATCCAAACAAGTATAAAAGCAATACCCCAAACCACCGCCGACGTGAGTTACCCCTGCGTGCATCGCCTCTCACTTGCTCCACCGCGTTCAGACCATCTACAATGGAGTGCCAAAAATTAGGGCCAAAGTGCCAAATTTGGCACTCAATTAAGTGCTTTTGCTCCAATGGTGTAGAGCCAAATGTCAAAGTGCTATATTTGTGAATTTTTTATAAGTTAGTTTATTGTACATTTTATTGCTTTATTTATATAATTTCGCAATTGTTTTTATAAAGTTAGTCATAATTAATTAAAACAAATATTTTGATATAATATTTTTTATTATTTTTATATTTTTTCCGACGATAAATATGATGTCATCAATGATGAAAATACTGTGGCTGGTGCTAATGACCATAGATTTATTACATATTTGAATAATATAGGTGTTGGGAGAAAAATAGCTATTGGGGAGAAAAGAGACGTTGAAGGCAAATTGAGGGCTGGTGGAGAAATTTTTCTAGGGCTAATATGCAATTTGACAGATAAAAAAACAAAAATGGTGGGACGCGCATGTGGGGTGAACGCAGTCCCTCTCCTCATTCTTTTTGGCGAGTTTCTTGCCTTCTCTCTCCCTTGCAACTGTTTTTTTTAATTTATTTTAGCACTTCTTGTCTTTTTATGAGCCGAATTTGGCCCCCAAATCCTCAAAATTCCATACTTAAAATGGGAGAAGAGGTCTTCTATTTATAGACTTCAGGGGGGCGGACAAGTTCACGACCAAGCAGGGTAAACTCGCGATCGTAATCTTTCCCTTCGAGTCCGTGATCTTCAGGCGTTATCGTTTTGATCTTCATGTTCGAGGAGTTCGCAGCCTGACTTCACGATCACGATCCGTGAATCACGGCTGCAAACTTCCTTGCACGGTCAGGGAAGATGGTGACTGTGATTCGACCGTCGAAACTTTCTATCTTCTCTTGGGTGGCTTCCTCACGAAGTTTACACCCAAGGGCTCCATATTCGCGATCGTGAACTTGGGTTCTCGGGCTGCGATCTTCTCTCCTGCTTCGCAATCTGCTGTCTCGGCCAAGATCTTTCCCGTCCAGGCTGTGATCATCATCTTACTGCCCATTTCACTACTCTTGTCCCCTTTTTCATACCTTATTCACATGTATCATCTAAAGCACTCTAAAATCACGACATAATTAAGTAGGAACAAAATAGAGATACAATCGATAATATTTTTCTAATTATGCACATAAATTAGCACGAAACGAACATAAATATGAAGGGTAAATTACACCAATTTAGATATTATAAGTAGAACATCGAACAACTTCTGAACCCTTCGTATTATCTCTTGCAAATATCTTCTGCTCTTCCATTCCACTTACTAGCACAGGGCCCGGCCCCTTGGCCGGAAAAGTTTAGACAAAAAATATGCATATTTAAAATGCTTACAATATAATAAGAAGATAAGACATACAATTGGAGAAAGAAATGCAATTGTTCAAAAAAAAAAAAGGAAAACATATACATAGTTGATTTTCACTACTTAAGAGGGTCATATAGTAAAGATTAGAGTTGCTTCCCTAAAACATACATAATGAACCCTCATAGTGAAAGAAAAAGATTGGTCTCTGATAGAATTTAGTATCTCTCTATATTGTTTATCCCAGTAGGCATCACTTTTGTTGATCACAATGGGGGCAATGAATATGAATTTGTATGATTTGAAATAGATCGGACATGATACAAAATTGTCACTAATAGTGAGTTGGACAGTGTATTGTGTACATGTGGACTCCCAAATGACTTTCATGTCGCAGATATGGCGCAACAATGTAGTAGTTTCCCTATAGTAAAAGTTTAATTTTGAATGAAATAAGTTGAAATAATGAAAATGTATGATTAGTATAAAGCATTGAAGAAAGGGTGATAAAAATGTAGTTTCCGAACTACCATTAATGAAGAATGTAAGCGTAATACAGTTAGGTTTGCAATTAAACACATTTTTGCTCGTTCTTTGGCAACTTCATAGGAGTCCTCTTTAATGATGTATCTGACTTTTCTTAGTCTAACATAAGAAATGACATATAGCGAGGTTATATTTTTTTATAGCTATGCACATGTATATAACTTCTTTGCATAACGAAATTTACTCACGGGTTTAGCAGTGGGTGCAATGAAGGTCGATTTAAGTTGAAAAATAACTTGGATGGTGGTGATGATGCGAGTAATACTTGCCTAACAATGATGAAGAAGCTTAGTGAAGAAATGATGTTGTTCTTCTACGGGAGAAATAAAAATTAGATTGTGCAACAGTAAATAAAGCCCTAGAAATGGCATGCCTCTTGTTTGGTCCACATATACTGAAGAAATTACACATACCACTGTTATTTGAAATTGAGAAGGTATGAAAGCTTCAAATTCATAAATGAAGGAGCCTTTCAATACCAATCGGATAACAGGGGCCCTAAAATACATGAGGAAATAAAATGACTTGGGCATAACATGTGAAGCATGCAAATGAACATCAAAGTGTTGCCCTATATAAAAGTGCATAAATCACAGAATGAGAGTTGGTTCCTATGATAGATACATAATCAATCTTCACAATAAAAGAAATTTATTATCATTAGGTAAAGTTCAATGTATTCTTCTACCAAAAAAAAGAAGTTCAATGTATCCCTAAAATCAACCCCCCCCCCCCCCCCCCCCCCCCAATTTTAATCTTTTTTGAATGGGAGAGAGCATGTTGGACATTGTCGTCGGTACTTAAATAAAAAATGCATTGGTTTCTAGTTGGTGTTAAATCACCATATGTTTAACACGATCAACAATGTAGTGATTCCCATACAGCTCTCGCCATCATGATAATCATAATTTTCAAAAGAGCCCATTCAAATACGGGAGACACGATGGTCGATTCAAGTTGAAAAATAACTTGGATGATGAGGATGATGCGAGTAATACTTGTCTAACAATGATGAAGCAGCTTAGTGAAGAAAGGATGTGATTCTTCTACAGGAGATATAAAAATTAGATTGTGCAACAGTAAATGAAGCCCTAGAAATGGCATGCCCAATGCTTGATCCACATATACTAAAGAAATTACGCATACCACTGTTATTTGAGATTGACCAGGTATGAAGGCTTCAAATTCATAAATGAAGAAGCCTTTCAATACCAATCGGATCACAGGGCCCCTAAAATACATGAGGAAATAAAATGACTTGGACATAACATATGAAGCATGCAAGCGAACATCAAAGTGTCGCCTATATAAAAGTTCATAAATGACAGCAAGAGAGTTGCTTCCTATGATAGATTCATAATCATTCTTCACAATAAAAGAAAATTATTACCCTTTGATAAAGTTCAATGTATCCATGAACCCCCCCCCCCCCTCCATTTTTATCTTCTTTGAATGGGAGAGAGCATGTTGGACATTGTCGCATGTACTTAACTAAAAGAATTTAGGTTTCTAGTTGGTGTTAAAGCGACATATCTTTAGCACGATCAACAATGTAGTGATTCCCATGCAGCTCTCGCCATCATGATAATCATAATTCTAAAAAGAGGCAATTCAAATACGAAAGACGTGCTAAAGTAAGCTACATTTAAGATAGATAAGAACATTGTCATATAGTTTTGGATTTCTTATCATTTTCATTGGAAATGAGTCAATGAATTTAGCTATTTAGTCGAACAAATGTGTACAAATTGTTTTCATAGAAGTGTTCTTTAAGTTTGCATTCAATGCTCTAGATCCAAGCTTTTTTGCATGGTTATTTGACTTGGTAACTCACACCACAGAAGTAAACGATCTCAAAATATAGTCACTAACATATTTACTTGGTATCACAACTAATTAAACGTGTCCAACCATTTCCATGACCCAAATTAGCAAGCACTTTAATCAACCGAGCTATATCCAAGTTTTGATGGAACGCTAATTAGGAGACATTCATAATCAACAATAATGTAACTTTCCTTAGATATATAAGTTCATAAAGAAATCGATTACTAATCACCATAAATAGATTCATCAAAGCCAGAATCAAATGAATTACAAACGTTTAATAAACACCATGTATAAAAAATGGTACTTGAAATAAATGAAATGCGCACACTAATAATAGCACGTCTACTTATCTTATTGGTATTTTAAAGACAAATTATTATCATATTATTGCATTAATAGGAGCACTACCAATTCAACGATTCCACTAAGAGGTGAATTCATTAATCTATCAAGCCCGACTACAATTTTTGCTTATGGGAACATGTTCTTACGCAAGAGTTCAAATGTTTTCATTCTATGATTGGAAAGAGAGCAAACCGATACTAGTGCTAGACCCTACAAACAACTTTAAGATAATTTCCAAATTGGCATGCAACCACTCCGATCTTGACTGTTTCTCACTAAACACAGTCGTTATAAAATTCGGAGATTTAATGAAACTCACAAATTCTCAAGGGATCCACATTTCCTTATGGAAAGGT